CATTTCCGTTACAATACATTGGTCGGCTTGCGCTTGTATTCAAATTGCGCTCAAAATCGCCTTTGAAAAAATTGAAACATCGAATGAGCAATCTGGTCCAATTTCAGACAATTGACGCTTGGACTACAGGCGGTAAAGCTGAGTGGAAGGCAGTTTCGATACGCTGCAGCCTCACGTAGTGGACTTTTACACACGGCTGTCAGACAGATGTCAATGTTTTCTTCCATTTAATCGCATAAGTTTAGTAAGCGGGTCCAAAGTATTTGACGAATTTGTCCACCGCAGTTGTGGACGAAATTCCCATGGAAAACATTTCCAAATGTGATTTGACCGGCCCTGAAAGCCTTCCTAGTCTGATTAAACGTGAATCCTCACAGGTTCGTGTGCCAGACTTCAGAGGACGCGATTGTGATCGCGGCCACCCTGTACAAGGCGCTGGTCAACCACATGAAGAGCAAAGAGCGGAAGCCTAAGAACAAGAACGGCGTGACGACGTGCATGTCCACCGCCTCCAGCACCATGGTAGAAAAGGGTCCCTCTATGCCAATCCGGCCGCCCAGGCGGAAACGCAGCAGCGCCGCTTCTTCCATATGCAGCGACACCAACGTACGTAGTCTGGCGAGCCAATGGCAGCCCTGAGAGTCTGGATTAGGTTTCAGACACGCAGCCGCTGCTTCCAGCCAAGCCGCCCAAGAAGAGCACCAAGTCAAAGAAGGCGCCCAAGGCGCCCGCGCAGCAAGACGTGGACGCCATCATGCCCTACGAGGAGCCCGTCACAATCAAACCGACGGTGGACAACGCTGAAGACGAGGCGAAGCCCAAGAGTTTCAGCGGTGAGTTGCTGGACCTCTGCGTTGAACTGCCGGCAAGGTTTGGGCGTCTGCTTGCAGACAAAGTGAGCACGTACATGAGCAAGGAGCAGAAGCAGATCACAGCGGAAATCAAGCAAATGGTGAGCGACAGCAACAAGGGCCTGAAGAGGGTGCAGAGCATCCGGAAGCGAAACGAGGACGCTGTGCGGCAGAAGGAGAACTCCGGGGACATTTTCACCAAGGTGACCATTCCCAGGTCGGGCAGTTTCCTCAACACCGGCGGCCTGACGCGCTACAAGAACAAAGCGTCCAGGTATAGGCAAGCAGCTGAAACTCTGCAAAGCACCAACTCTGGATGTTGCAGGAATAACGAATCGGCCACCGGCGGCTCCCCACTGGGCTTCAAGGAGATCTTCCACGAACTGTCGATGCAAGAGGGGCTGCACTCGATGGACGACATTCTCTCGGTGATCATCGACCCGGACGGGATGTCCTTCAACGACCTGAAGCCCATCTACAAAGAGTTCCTCCTCAAACTGGCCGTTACCCTCACCAAGGACGAGCTCTATCTCAAGAGCAAAAGCATCATGCGCCGCCAGCGCAAGAAAACCATCAAAAAGTAACCGTTCGCGCTCGATCAAGACCTTTAAGTTAAGTTAACCTTGAGCGGTTTGCAGGACTGCAACTGGGAAGAAGCACCCGAACAAGCTGGTGTCGGGCAAGTTCAAGCGGCTGAAGCACATTTTCCAGAAGAGCTTGAAGCCTCCGAGCGGGCCGAAGCTGCTGGAGGGCCGCAGTAGACCTGTGGAGCTTCAGCAGGCTGAAGCGCGGATCGACGCCAAAGTGCCCGAGAGCAGCATCAGCACCTCTTCGTATGACACCAGGCCCTTTCGGCCCAAGGAGGAGCTGAGCAATAAGAAGCCCAACTACCGCAAGAAAATGCACGGTGAGCTCGCCCCGCGTTTTCCTTGGATGGAGTGAGACCGAAAAACCTTGCAGGCGACTTCAGCAAGGCGAGGAGGCGCGATCGCGCCAGCACCAGCGAGGAATCGGACTTCTTCTCTTTGAAGCGCCAGCAGAGGCTCAACAAGTACCAGAACATGCAGGCGCTGGCCACTATGCAGAACCGCAACTCCTCCTCAGGTACCCCTCTGCACTAGTCACCCGAACACCCACCCTAATGGTTAGATTGCAGGGTACGTGTCCTGCTCCGAGTGCTCGTACGATTCGGACACCTGCACCTGCATATCGGCCGATAAGTGCTACTGCAGCTTGGGGCAACGCCCCTTCGGGAACGGAAGAAGTAAGAAATCTGTCATAAAAAAAACGAGATTTTTCCAAAGTTTGTTGATGCGTGTAGGAGAGAAGGGCATGGGCGGCGCAGACCCCAGCCTGACCTACTGCGACTGCGACACCGACTCCTGCGCAGAGTCAAACAAGTGCTACTGCCAATGCAGCAGCCGGGCGCGACACGCGCATCACCCCAAGTGCCGCAAGGCGGCGCACAGCGAGCAACACCGCAAGCTGTGCAAGAACAACTCCAACACCAAAAGCACCAGGAGCTTGGAGTACATGTCCAATCCAAGTGAAGGTACAAAGTCGCTGTCCTCTTTTCGTACTTGATTTTTTTTTGTTGTTGTTGATGCACCTAATCTTAGATTAACCAGCATCCTAAATATAACCTAAATTACTAGGGTTGGTTAACTGTGATATTCCCAGCGGGCCATCACAGGTTTCCGCATGGTTTCGCGCACTAAACTGTTGTTTTTTTTTATTTATTTATTAATATTCCAAATCAAAATTCATTCCTGGGTTTCAGTCATTTATTGTCTCTATTTATCAATTAAAAACATTAATAGACTGAAAGATTGAAAATTGACGGAATAATCTTAACTGTAAAATACTGTATGTTCAGAGTCCTCTTATGGACATTTGTGCAAAACAAACGCATGCAAACAATTAGCTGATCCTCTGGGTTTTTGGACGACGCCTCTCTGTGGTTGCATTTAGCAAAATCATTTTGGCGGGAAAAAAACAATTTAAATGCATAACTGTCCAATCTATACTCTGTAATCTGTGCAGGGTACTACGAGAGGCTGCGCAGCAAGCAGAAGTACGGCAGCGAGCGCGTCCACTCCAGCTGCGCCCCTCGGGATCTGCTGCAGCAGAAGAGGCGCAACAGCCATTCGGGGTTGGCGGTCACCGACAGCATCGTCGCCATGCAGAACTTCCAGCTGGGGCTGAGCGGCCAGAAAATGTCCGCCATGGACTACGAGCTGCTGAAGTTGGCTCGCGATGGAGGCCTGCAGGAGCTTGCGCAGTTGCAGAGCGGCACAGCGTTGTGCGCCAACGTCTGCGACTACTGGCACGCCACCAGAAGCACTGGCACAGACCCAGGCAAGTCGTTCGGCTGTTCAGCGCCTCGGGGCTTGATAACCGCAGGAATTTCGCAGGAATGCAAAAGGTTCAGTCGGCAATCACCACTGGGGCCTGCACGGACGCCCTCTCGGTGAAAAAGTCCGCGGAAATGGCTGCGCTCTTCGCCGACATGAAGCTGAGCCAAACCACCGATATCACCCACTTGGTTCCTGCGGGCTTCGAGGTGGACAGACGCAACCTCTACAACATGGAGAAGTCGCTGCAAGCCAAATACAGGTAGGTGCGTCTTCCACGCTGCTTCCCCGACATAGAGAGTGTTATCAGACTATGAAGGCTTTCACGGCCAGTTAAATTACATTTAGAAATATTTTCCGGGCTTTGAAGCCCTGGTCAATGGGAATTTCTTCCTGACGTTTCGTCCACAACTGCGGTGGACAAATTCGTCAAATACTTTGGACCCGCTTACTAAACTGATGCGATTATATGGAAGAAAACATTGACCTCTGTCTGACAGCCGTGTGTAAAAGTCCACTACGTGAGGCTGCAGCGTATCGAAACTACCTTCCACTTAGCCTTACCGCCTGTAGTCCAAGCGTCAATTGTCTGAAATTGGACCAGATTCGATGTTTGAATTTTTGCAAAGGCGATTTTGAGCGCAATTTGAATACAAGCGCAAGAAAATGTATTGTAACGGAAATGGCCTGGGGTACTCACGTTTGAAATGGTGGGATCAAAATTCATGGTATTTCAGTAAATGGGAGGTAAATTCCACAGCTGCACGGAACTCTGTAGACTCCTGCTGCTGATAAGGGATCCCGTTTGTCCTTGGCCGATCTCAAAGTCTGTTGGATGGTTCGAGTTGGTTTGAAAATGGTTTTAACTTGGTGTTTCCCCAATATCTTGCCGATCCTGTCCGTGACTCCATGTATGTACGGGAGGCAAGCCCAACTCTTATGCTCATCATGCGTCTCTGTTGTCTCCGAGCGAGCTTCACTGTTTTTTGGTCGAATTGCTCTATTGAAATCTTTCTTACTGTGTCCATTCCAACCGAAGGTCCTTTCCAGTTGTTTTAATTCTCTCTCTAACTCGGCTGGTTCGCAGATTCTTCTGGCTCTTTCGGTGAGAGTTTTGATGACTCCTCTTTTCTGACTGGGAGGATGGTTTGAACCACTGTGCAGGTACCGGTCGGTGTGTGTCGGTTTTCTGTACACCGTGTGGGCCAGCTTTCCGTTGGCTTTTCTGGTCACCAAGACATCCAAAAAAGGCAGTAGCCCATCCTTCTCCACTTCCATAGTGAATTGAATTTTAGGGTTTATTGAGTTGAGGTGCCTCAGGAAGTGTTCAAGTTCAGTCAGACCATGGCCCCAAACAACAAAAGTGTCATCAACATAGCGAAACCAACACTTAGGTTTCCTCACGGCTGTGTCCAGAGCGTTCTTCTAAAATTTTTCCATAAAATAGTTGGCTATCACTGGACTAAGAGGGCTGCCCATTGCTACTCCATCCGTCTGCTCAAAGAATTCGCTGTTCCACTGAAA